TTAAATTGGAACAACGTGTATTCTTTACTGGGAATATATTTTGAAAAAACGAATGAGAGCCTATTATCGCGAGAGTCGAATGCAATACACCTAGACCGCGTCCAGAAATGTACCTACACTGATCGCAGTCCAAGTCTACGAAGTACTCGAAAGTGCCGGAAATAATTAAATGAACATTATAAACTTAAGCCATTAAATAATTTATTCATCACGTCTAAGATTCGCGAAGATCGAAAATACGAAAGTTATCTCTTATATATTTGTACATTAGAAAAAAAAAGGAATTCGATAAAATTAAGAAAGTGAAATTTCTAAGATTATTATTTTTGCGATTTCGAATTTACTGTTTAATTCGGCCGGTTATGAAGCGATAAGTAGAAGACTATATGCCAAGGTTCGAATCACGCAGCAGGTATCAAATTTACGAATAACGTTCTCCTGAAAAAAATCCACGATAAAGGAATACCGTGTAATGCTACGACATGCTCTTCTTCAAACTCGGGACGTGGATACTACTCAGCAATCGCTCGAGGAGCGCATTAACCCATAGACACAGCCCTCAGTTTCTCACTGGACGTTTTCAGTGGATCGCTATTCCGATCCAGATTCAGCGAAACACTGCCCTTGCTAGGGCAGATGTTAGAAAAGTGTCTCAGACTGGGCCCAATGAGCTCGTCTACACACCCTGTCAAACCACAACAGCCCCCGGGGCTACTGGTAATTAGGCGGGCAATTGGTAGAAGATAATGACAGAATTATCTCGATCAATTTCTTTATGGAACACAGGGAGGTAACAGAGAGAAACGAACTCAACTCCGAAAACGAACAATCATTATTGGTCTGGAAGCGGTCGTGTTAAAAGTGCATTACACCGTCCGCCAACACAAAGTTGTCAAAATTGGAGATTGAACTGAATGATGGCACAGTTTCTCTATATTGGGTTGAGAAACTCACCGGGGACAGTCGTTTTAAATCATAAAAAAACTATTTAATAATGTAAAATCCATTTTTTTTGCCTACCTACTGCCAGTAAAATCGAACTTCACCGAATGTGTAAGTGAGCTCGCGCTTGAGAAAATTCGGTTAATGTCTTCTTTAATTGCTAAAAAGACGGCAACACTGTTTGTCAAACTTTATTTATGCTATGAGTAAAAAATTTACATGTAATTAATTATCTATGTAATTAATGCAATTAGCTTCTTTTGTTTTCAAATCATTAGATAACTTAATAGTGACTCATTCATAATGTGTATAAATTAACTTATCTCAACTTCACATATTCATGTTTTATCATCACAATTTTATGCTGTATTACATAACAAAAAATATCCTTAGACAAAACATAATCAGTACTTAATATGTATTTAGTATTTTAGAGAAAAAAAACCAAACAATGTAGATAGTTTGGTGTTGATAACAACAATCAATCTATATAAACAGATTGAGCAAAAGTATATCATATAAATAATAAAAAAAATCGCATTTTTTGTGGTCACTAAAAGCTTAAAGAAGTTGTAGAAGCTGTAGTAGTAGTGCTGCTTCTAACTGTATTGGATAGGCGCAGACACGAAGGATGGTTTACACAGTGAGTATGAATATGTAAGTACTGCTTTGAATAGTTTATTGACGATAAAAATATACACAAACAAACTATATCACAAGTGGTATGAAAAAGAACGAACATAGAGGAGTAGTAAAGGCACTGACACGAACGATGGGTAACTCAGCGAATATCGAAATGTACTGCCCTCAGTTTTTTAAGATTCCGAAGTGTTGAACAACAATAATGGATGATTGCCTAAATTCATAAGCGACAGCGATTTTGTCGAATTGTAAGGCGGTTGCCCAAGTAGTGGGGGGTAAGTGAGTCGCCACAAAGTATTCGAAACGTCAGAAATATGACATTAAAAACAATTATTAATTATGTCTGATATTTTATTGTATAAATGCTGAAAATTAATTATTTTAGAATACCCATGATAATGATAATTATGGGCAAAGTGGACGGAAAGAGACGTGCTGGGCGAAGAAAGAAATCATGGCTCCGGAATATCCGGGAGTGGACCGGTATTGCCTCCGTCGAACAGCTGTTCCGGCTGGCTGCAGATAAAAACGAATATAGAAAGCTAACGGCCAACCTTCAGGATTGAAGAGGCACTGGAAGAAGAAGAGAGAATACTCATACAAAGGATACAAATATCCCCCGAAGACCCGAGACAATATTGAGACTTTCTTCCCATAATTTTGTCAACCTAATAAATTTTTTTTATTTATAAAATTACATTTAAATATTCTCGGAGTAATTTGTTTGTGGTCCATTAATTCACTGTGTTTGTGGTTCAGCAGGGTAATATAAAGTGCATTCCAATCTTTTGTGGTCGACATTAACTTTGTGAATTCAATTTGAATTTTACTACATCCTTAGGGGATATTACTTCCACTTAAACTTTAAAGTATTTTTCGTAATAATATTATTAATATCACAACAATAAAAAAAGTCATCAATGAAACTGTTAAATCTATAGGTAACAGCAACAAAAAAAACTTTTATTGAGAAGATAGGTATGATATACTTATAAGCACAATTTAGCTTTTTGTAAAATAACTTCCGCTCCCTATGGATACCTATATATCGTTCAAACAAAACATAAGACAACACAACAGCAGTTTTGGGACCTTATTAATTGAAATACATGTAATGCTTTTAATTTTTATTTTCGAATTTCGATTGATCATGATCATAGAATACGCCTACTTTTCAAATTTTATCTACTTATATAGCGGCGTTTATCTTCAAGCGATTCGCAATTTAACTACACAGTATGAAAAACGATGTGTGCCTTTTTAGTGGCACTTTATATCAACTGTATATAATTCTGTATGACAATTTTAGTGATTTTAAATAGAAATGGATGGCCTTAATTGACCTATTGCCATATGAAATAATGTATTTGTGTATCTTTCATTGTTGAAATATGTTTTTATTTATCACCTTAGTAAGCACACAAGCATATGGCCCACCCGATATTGAGTAGTTATCATCATTTATGGACATCATCAATAACAGATGCACAACCAGACCACCCATAATGCTGAAGAATTATGCTAAAATGAATCAAACTTAATAAATTTCCATAATTAGTAATCTTGCAAAGTCGGTGATACCTACTGTACAATTGAAAGTTAGACCTCATGTTGGGTGAATAGCATTCACATTATAATGTCTATGACTTCCAGTTACTAATAAACCAAGCCCACCTACAACATGTCCTACCTGATCTGGACCTATATATATATTTTTTATTGTTTAGATGGTGGGACGAGCTCACAGCTCACCAAGTGGTTACTGGAGCCCATAGACATCTACAACGTAAATGCGCCACCCATCTTGAGCTATAAGTTCTAAGGTCTCAAGTATAGTTACAACGGCTGCCCCACCCTTCAAACCAACTGCTTCACGGCAGAAATAGACAGGGTGGTGGTACCTACCCGTGCGGACTCACAAGAGGTCCTACCACCAGTAAAGATCGAGGGCTGAAAGATTATTTTGTTTACCCAACATTTTGCTGAAGAAGCGAAATGTCTCTTTGTAATTAAAGGTGCATTTTACTTCGTATTAGCATCAACAATTTGATGTTTTTAATTAAAACCTAATTAAGTTTACACCATGCAAATGGCTGAAGATTTTTTTTTAAAAGATATTTTATTCAAATTTTAAATGACTCTATTTTAACCTGTAAAATTGCATATTGTCGCTCAAACCAAATAAATAGTCTTTCACCCTTTGATATTAAAAATCTTTGTAAAACCCTGTAAGTTAGTGTAACATCATATTAATTTGGTTGAAAAACAACCATTCTGATTTCAGGGGTGGGTCAACATATACATATATGCACAATACAATAGATACTTTGACCTCCGGGGTGAGTAGCAGCATCCATTTTATGATATCAATGGGCTCCAATAACCACTTAATACCAAGTGGAACATAATCAATATAGCATAAAACATAAACAGTATGAAATACACATTAAAAGAGGTAGGATTAATGTTTCTTTAATAATGAAATGTTTATTTTGGAAGATGACCTTCAATTAAGGATAAATGTTTGTAATATAATTATTATTTGTAATTATTCAATTTCAATTTTAAGGAAGTTCAATTAAAAACATCCAATTGTTGATACTAATACCAAATAAAATGGACCTTTAATTACAAAGGTAAATGTCACGTATTAAGCAAAATGTCACTTAAAACAAATAGCCTTTCACTGTCTATTATAAAATATCACAGACATTCAATTGGTGTAAATTTCTTTTTTTTAGTTGTTCTTGAAGTGATAACATAAAGACAGATCCTAGCTTGGCACCATTACTTATGGACTATGTTGGTTGTTATGGTTATTAACAGTATCAATAAAGTGCCCAAACATGGTCAGTTTACTGACACTTACTCTAACATTGATTAACTTATGTGCAATTATTGACTACAAATTCAATTATGTCGATTTAATTCATCACAATTATAACCCAAATATCATTCTTATTCTTCACCTTATCCCACTAGGTGGGATTGGCAGAGCTAATTTTTCTCTTCCATTCTCTTCTATCAGCTGTCAGCTCAACACTCACTCATCTCAAATATCATTGTCATAGTTGAAATATATTATAAGAGTTATAAATATATTATAACCTGCAGTTTCACTAGTATTAAATCAAGAATAAAGGAATTAACTTGATATATTGATAGCTTGGTTCTGTGATTATAATAATATATATCTTTGGCTTGACATAGGATAACATAAAAAGTTAAATGTAATGATTTTAATGTACAGACGTAATATCGTCACACTTCTGTATTAGTTGTATGATAAACTATAACGGGCGGGGATGTACAGTGCCGAACTATGCAACACGTAGAGTATTCTTTGTGTCGCGTGAATAATTTGACCTTAACACTTTCGAGCGGTGCGCGGTCGCAGGTGAAGGGTTCGCACTCACGTTTAGCTGCCTGCACGACATCCTTGACTTCTTTGATGAGCCGCTTGATCTGCTGGCTAGTTCGTTCTAGTTCCTTCTCGTGACGTTGGAGATTCTCGCGGAACTGAGGGCTGTCCGCGAGGCACTCGGTGAACTCTAGAGGCTGCAGACCCACGCCCATCGTCATCCACTATCCACTCGTTTTATGATCACTCGCGGTCACAACACCTTGCACTTTCACCGACCGCCTATCGCGCGGGACATTGCGTTTTACCACTTCACACAGCTAACAACACTGATACGTTATTATGCTGACTTTACTACCCTTATCTACGATGATATAAACAAAAAATTTGAAAAAAATACGGCCGTAAAATTCCGACAATACTGCACGATTACTGCGTAGCTGTCAAACTGTCAACACAAGGTAGCTTTTTGGATCATAAGCGTCTTGATTTGATAAACTACCATAAAACATTAAGTCGTTAAATTGATTCAATTGATTCTCCTAAAAACCACTGTCTTAGGCTATAATAAGATTATTTCAGTGTGAAAAAACTCAAAACTTTATAAGCAATTCGAAAAGTCGAGGGAGAAAATAGGAAAAACTAATTGAACGTTTTATTTAAGTAAATTTACTGGTAATTATGTTAAAAAATATTAACAGTAGCGATTCAGACTAACCATTACTATTGATTTTACCAAAAAATAATTTTAGTTTAGTTTTATTTGCTTAGTTTTTTAGTTTTAGTTTAATTTAAAATAAAAACTACCAAAACATAACATTGAGAATTGGTAACACAATAGTCATGTGGCTAGTTACGTTTCACGCAGATCATTTATTATGTCTTAGTCATAGATAATAATATAGATTAGATAGTCTGGTATATTGGTCTTAGTTCAATCAAACGCATATTACATTTTTATTAAGTAGAAGGTTTCAAAGCATGTTCGCTTTGAGAGAATTAATGATATAAAAACCTAAATTGATGGACTTGACGGACGGAAGGGACGAGTAAAGTTCGGTTAATAATTAAGGCAAGATGCACTCCCTCACAGTACTTTTCCACCATTAAACCAAATAAAAAACTATGAATAACTTTATAGCAATATAACTTACATAAACTAAAAACAATATTTATAAACATTGTACCAGTTGTGTAGGTATTACGTACTAGGATTCTCATCTCTCATTCTCATTTTTTAGTTTTTATTTGATAGGATCTCTTGTGAGTCCGCGTGGGTAAGTACCACCGCCCCTCCTATTTCTGCCGTGAAGCAGTAATGCGTTCAGTTCGAAGGGTGGGGCAGCCGTTGTAACTATACTTGAGACATCAAAGCTTATATCTCAAGGTGGGTGGCGCATTTACGTCGTAGATGTCTATGGGATCCGGTAACCACTTAACACTAGGTGAACTGTGAGCTCGTCCACACATATAAGCAATAAAAAAAAACCTCGAAATGTCTTTGCATTTGTGACTTATAGAATAATAAAAATTGTTAAAAGCAATCACACAAGAACTTCATACTGACACAAACTTTTTCTTATGCGGGATTTACATTACGAAATTAGTGTCATGCATGTTGAGCTCAGTTTCACGAAAGTAGTTTCGATATATGCGAAAGTAATTTCGTTAAAAAGTTGTACTCCATCGTTAGTTTGTCATTTTCAACGCTTGAAGCGCGTCCGAACTAACAATACACACGTCCGCACTGCGGAGGCCCTTTCGCGACATTAGTTTCACGTCGCGTCTACACTATGAAATTAGTTGCATGACACTAATTTCACCAAAAAATCGCGCAGGGCACGAAACTAATTTGCATGAATGAAATTAATGCATGCATTACGAAAGTATTAAATTACACGTGAAACTGTTGGTAAAACTAATGTCACGAAATTAATTTCATGCCACTAATTTCGTAATGTAAATTCGCCTTAAGTATTTCTCAACATGTAACAAAAAACCAACAATATTTATACGATAAACATTTATTATTATATAAGCAATGTCTAAGCACTTGGTACATTAAAGTCCATTCAGGAAGTAGACTTCCCTTTTCCCTTTTCATCTGCGGCAGTCTCCTCCTCATCATCAGAATCTTCGTCGTCGTCTTCATCGTCGTCATCGTCCTCGTCGTCGGACTCAGAGGAACAGTACGAATAATCTCCTCCCTCAGCAGCACCGTAGTCGCCTGATAACGTGTGTTAAGTGGTTACTGGAGCCCATAGATATAAGATGAGATATAAGTTCTAAGGTCTCAAGTATGGTTACAACGGCTGCCCCACCCTTCAAACTGAAACGCATTGCTGCTTCACGGCAGAAATAGGCAGGGTGGTGGTACCTACTCGTGCGGACTCACAGGAGGTCCTACCACCAGTTTTAAGAATTCGGAATAGAAAATCATATATGATAAATTTCTACAGCTATTCTATTGCTGGTTTTGCGGTCCAGCTAAAGCGGCTTCCGCCTTTTTTAATTACTGCAACGAGCAAATTATGCATTTTGAATTGCATGCTGGGAAATTGGTTACGCCAATGAGTTGCATTCCCAAAAAACCGCACGTACCGAATGCTTCTAGTAGTTACTGAAGACCATAGGCAGGGTTCCCAAGTCTCCGCTGTATTTCACAGCAACATCACTTTCACTTGATCACGTGACTTACAATCTACCCTTCTAATTATCTCCTCGTGATTAGTGTATCTATCTATTCTATGTATATATAGGTATATAAAAATGAATTGCTGTTCGTTAGTCTCGCTAAAACTCGAGAACGGCTGAACCGATTTGGCTAATTTTGGTCTTTAATTATTTGTGGAAGTCCAGAGAAGGTTTAAAAGGTAGATAGATATGAAAATGCTCGGAATTAAATAAAAATAACAATTTTGTTTTTCCTTTGACGTGTCCCCCGTCGGATGGAATCCTTTTGTTTGCTTTAAGCGTATTTTATACAAAGGTCTTTTATTTATCGATTGAGGCACTACGAAGTCTGCCGGGTCAGCTAGTTTCTAATAAAACAGTAATTCCGTGGTACTCTGACATTGAATCTAGCAAGTATAGAAAGCTTAGCATGTCTGCTAATAAACCCACTGGGCTTAATATATTTGCTTTCCCAGTACTATATACACAATGGGAGTGCCTTTGGTACTTTAATGTTATTAATTATGAAATAAAATCAAATTCATGTTATAGATACCGTCATCTCCATATCCGGAGTAGTCGCCGTCGTCGTCGTCCGCTGGTGCGGTGCCTTGTCTTCCGTAGCGATGAGAACGGGCTGACAATCAGAAAAATATTTTTTAACACAGCACTATTTATCCTCCAGAACCACTTAACAACGGATACGCTGTCCACTCATCTACATATCAATAGTGTAGTAAAATACTTGAAAAGTACATTTTTTACATATTACTTCAAATTTCTATAAATCCAAAATTTAATTCATTACAACTTACTTTTGTATATTTTGGAAATAGTTCCGATTGAACAGTATCCACAGATATTGTACACGTTCAGCACTCATATACAGCGGTACTCACCACATTAACGTAGATAGAATTAGTTACTTTTTAACGAAGTATATAATAAACGGATATTCTTTGACTATCAGTGATTTCTTCCGATCTAAATCTCAAGTTGTGTACGCTACATTCCGCAGCACATACAGATATCTTTGCGACATCATCGCATTACAGCAGAAGAGAAGATTTGTGAAATAGATCGACTAATAAATTTTCCAGAGTAAACATTCCATTAGAGATTCTTCTCCGAATGGAAACAGCATGAAACGTGGCAGGTACATAAGCAGAAGACACTCACTGGACATGGAGAGGTCGGCCGTGAGCGCGGTAGGGTAGGAGCACTTGGGGCAGGGCGGGGCGGCTCGCCGGTCAGCGGACCGCACGCCGCGCCGCCGCACGTGCTCCTCACAGAAGCACGTTTTGCAGCGGAGACACGAGTATTGCCCAATGCGGTTACATGATTGACCTGGAAATCAATATATAATACTTTTTATCCTGTGGAATTTTATTTTGCTAAATATGGCTGACAGTTACATTATGAAATGACAGTGGTCCGCGCATACTAGTGAAAGGGGGCCAGGGACATCACACTATCTGTGGGATTTTATGACACTCACAGATAGAGATAGGGTGATCATTATTCTAGGTCATGACACCACACAGCATCTTATAAATTTGCCTTACCCACATCCTCACACAAATTCAATTTTCTCCAGCTGGAATATGTATTTTTATTATGGAATACTCACACTTGTAGGTTTCCGATTCCAGAACTTGACACGAGGCCTGATGCTCAAACTGGTCATCTTCGCACAAAAATCCTTGGCAGAAACAGCACCGGAAAACCCGGCCACCGTGCTCCCATACACCTGGAATAGAAATAAAAGTATAATTTCTTAAATAGTTACAATAGAACAGTTATTTCATCAGTAGAGGAACAGGATAAGATCATGAGGCTTGTCACTATTTCCTGACAGGTCCTGTTGATCAAAAACATATTACTATGTGAGAACAGTAGATATTTTTAGTGTCATTGAGATATTTAGGTCTATGTTTTACAATTGCAGACAGGATTCATGTCTAAATGTCTAAGATAATGTGTAGGGTCAAATAATCACCTCTCTCGCACTCCAAGCACACTGCATCCATGAGAGGGCAGGTGCACGCATGGGACGTGAGACATTTTCGACCATGACATACCCATGCCTCACAGAAGTCACATATAGCACCCTGGAAATTTTTCAAGTTAACGATTAACATTCTTTTGTTGATGAAAATACATTAAAATGACAATACATCAAGACAAAGACAATAAAATAATTAATTAATAAATTAACCTAGCAAGGGAAAATAAAGAAATAAACATGACATTGTTAGCATACCTCCACATACTACTGCATACTGTAGTAAATGTACTTTGTTTTTTTTCCTACCTAAAAGCTGATGGTCTAGACTACTCTAGACTCTACTGAGACCATTCAACATAACCTTAACTAGTAAGTGAGCTCACGGGGCTCCAACCTGACGATGTTAGTAAATGTGGGTAACTCTAACAAGACTTCATGTGGATATTTGACTTATAGGATATCATGTCATGTAGCTAACATTATATAATATTATTTATATATTTTTTATTTAGCTGTCTGTCATATGGTTAACTTTTAAATTGTTTCTATTTAGGTTAACCAGTAACATTTTGCATTCATAAAACTCCGGAAATGATGACATCCATGAGTGACAGTCACCTCTCACCATTACATAGACTATTTACATTTACATAACTACTATCGGCATGAAATGGCCCTAAAAAAAAATCAAGAAGAATCAGTTTTATAGCTGTTCACAGAAAATTACAAAATGCATTACATACCACCATTCCCATTCCCGTGTTGTAAACACCTGGATGTCTAATAACACAATCTCCGGACTTTAACATGCATTTGACTTTCCCACAGTGGGCACATGTTGGGAGTCTCTGTACAGCTTGACAGAAGTAGCAAAATGCACGTGTCTTCTGTTTTCTATGAAAAAGAAATATAATAATATAAGTTTACAGCGTCTCATTGTCAAGTATTTTTTGGGTAATGATAAAAGCACAGCATAGCCATTGCCCAGATTTCAGGACTTTTTTTACCTACACACACTAGGAGTCCATCCCAAAACAAAGTGGTAAGTGGAAAAAAGCTATTTCTGTAAATATACTGCGGATGAAAACAGCGGTATCGGCAAAAGTTTATACATTTATGAGAATTTAATATTAAATGGTTGTTTCTTTAACCTCATTATTGTTATATTAACAACGTGGCAAAGAGAGTCAGTTATATACATTCACATTTAACACGATAACAAAATGTATTTGTTCTTTTTAATTATATAAAAATGATGAACATCATAACCTACTTCTGACATTTGTCGCACTCCATAGCAACGTTACAGGGATGTTGAGCTAAATCTACATGTTCGCGAGCGGCCCGTATTTCTTTCTGGCGCAACTTCTGTTTCTCTGCTTTTTTACGTTGACCGGTCTTTTTCTTTGGCATGTTCTTGTTTTATTTACAGATGTAACAACGTACACAATTGGAATCTCCGTTCGAAATCATCAAAAAACATGCACTGAAGCATAGATTATACACTTAATATATGCACTGAAGCTATAACCGTGACAGGCACATAATAGCAACAGCTGATGACCGAGACATAGATTATACATCAATTCTGAAATAATTATTGTATAATCTATGGAACCACTTGTCACTAATAGCATTACTGTGAATGTAAATTTTATAATAATTATTATAAATAGGCATGCTTTAACAAAAACCGACTTCAAATAGAAAAAAAAGATATTCCAAAACAACGCGCACGTTCTTAATGTAAAAGCCTTATATAGTTTTCTCATGGATACCATTATCAGAACTGGACTAAATCGGAAAATCGGAAAAAAATGGAACCACACGGGAAGCGTCAGCTTTCTAATAAAAAAAGAATCATCAAAATCGATTCACCCAGTCAAAAGTTATGAAGTAAAAAAACATAAAAAACATACAGTCGAATTGAGAACCTCCTCCTTTTTTGAAGTTGGTTAAAACTGATTAACGCGCTCCTTGTTGCACTGGTCTTGACCGTTTAAGGCTGGCTTCAAGACTGAAGTGGAACAGCGCCTCTAGCGGCAAACGTAGGCAAACGTTCATCTGCATACAAATTTGAGTTAACTTTTACGCTATTGAGAACGTTAACAAACTCGCACTAAGCACACAGGTAGCCCGCCGATCGAGAGTCACGACGATCGTGGCATAATAACGGGGAGATATGCTATGCGCGAGACGTGTCACTCTACCCCCAGCCGGCTTAATGAATTTTGGCTCAAGGCTCGGAGGCAGATTGCTGAGCAACATATGGTTTTAGTCGACTTAAATTTTATGCAAGTCGCCCCACCGGCCCAACGCGTAGACGGAAGTCCAAAGATTTAATGCAAAAATGCGTTAGTTGATAGATAGACCGAATAGTGTAACAGCTGTATGGCGCCAATCTGGATTCTTAATATGTAACCTATTCTTGACTAAGATCTTTTGATAGACACTTTTTATAACTGAAACCCTAATAGAAAAAAGTGTGTAAGGTTCTTTTCCTATTCCACTTTTGTTGAAGTCGTCGTGGCTTAAAGGATAAGACGTCCGGTGCGTTCGTATCTAGCGATGCGTCGATGTTTGAATCCCGCAGGCGGGTACCAATTTTTCTAATGAAATACGTACATAACAAATGTTCACGATCGACTTCCACGGTGAAGGAATAACATCGTATAATTAAAATCAAAAACCCGCAAAATTATAATTTGCGTAATTACTGGTGGTAGGACCTCATGTGAGTCCGCACGGGTAGGTACCACCACCCCGCCTATTTCTGCCGTGAAGCAGTAATGCGTTTCGGCTTCAAGGGTGGGGCAGCCGTTGTAGCTATACTGAGACCTTAGAACTTTATCTCAAGGTGGGTGGCGCATTTACGTTGTAGAAGTCTATGGGCTCGAATAACCACTTAACACCAGGTGGGCTGTGAGCTCGTCCACCCATCTAAGCAATAAAAAAAATAAAAATACGCATTTCTGATTATTGAGAATTTTAAAATATACCGACTTTTCAGTTTGCTTTAGTCATACAAAAAAAATATCCTATTACATACTTGAAAGCCGTGAGTACATGGGTACTTAATTTTTTATTTTGCGTGACAATCGCTAATTATTCCTTTCTTGGTATGCTTTTTGCTATATGGCAATAGGCTTCTTGCGATTATTACCTTTGTTTAAGATTTAGCAATTAAATAAACTTTCCATGAAAACAGTTCATTAAGTAATCAGGTAATTGAAGTTGTTAAATTTACTGGACAACGACATCACATTGTGAAGAAATAATATAACCTTTTGGTTCAGAAATTCACAATAGTTTCCAATTTATTTTTTATATTTGCTTAATTGTATCGAATAACTATGGTTAAAATAGGCGGGGCTTAAAAAAATTAGCCACCGAAAACTTGAAACAAAATTTCTGATATTTAACAATAATCCTTTAGAGAACAATATTAACAGCTGATCATCGCTTACTAGACGAAAAATATAGCCCGGCAATTTCAAAAACATGCGCAGTGATGGAAAATTTAATAGTCCGGCGTCAATGTTTTCATTCGGTTGGCGTGCAAGTACGCATTCGTCCGCCACTCAAAACAAACACATTTATTTATACTCTTGTTTTGTATGTGCGTGGTGCTATGTGGGGTTCAGTGCATATGCTTCATGTAATGTCTAGTATAATATCGTGTCTCCGGCTTATCGTGCGCAGTTAATTTCTATAATCGTCGGGAGGGAGAGATGATTTCCCCTACTGCATTGGTACGTACAATGTATTATTTATAAACACTTTTCGCATGTTCACGTCTTCTCTTTGTTTGAATTAGCTAGTAGTCTTAATGTGAATTTAATTAAGGAAAAATATTGTTTATAGTAAAATATATGATGAATTGTGTAGTAAACAAAAAAATAAGTTTAATGAAACAATATCAAACTGGTTTTTTTTTAATAATTACCGAGTATCACGCATCACTAGATAGTTTTCGAATTAACTGTCACTATCTTTCAAAAATATTAAATGTTTTACTTAAATGTTTAATAAGTCTATGCAATAACGCTCTAAAGGGGGTTGGCAAGACCATTTTAATTATAAAAAATATTACGTTATTACCTATATCGGAATACTTTTAATTTTTAACATAACAATTTCGATAGAACGAAAACCGTAAATCATTTTATTGGGTCCCAAAAATATAACTTCAATGAAAATGATGGTTACCTTAATCCAGCGGTCGGGGAACTTTTTTAATTATTACCCCAAAATATTGTTGTGTAAGTTGATATTACCCCATGGCGAAGAACAAAATAAAAACGAAATCGCTTCTTTTTAGCATCTTTCATATTATAGCCTCCATGATAATTTTTAAAAGGAAACAATAACTAAAAATTTAACGATTGTAAAGAAGTTTCACTTCAATATATAGGTACTTTTTAGTCACAAAAGTTTCACTTTTACCCTCCAAAATGTCATTTTACCCCATTTGGGGTAATTTACCCCGGTTCCACGACCGCTGCCTTAATCCTTTATCATTCATCGAAACCGAAGCATGGTACTAGTTGAGCATTGGTTTGTAGTGACGAGGGGTATAGGCTTATCACATGTGTAGGCTTATCAGCTTCAAAAGTCGTCAATCAGCAAAATATTTACAAAACTGCGTTTTGTTTGGAACAAAATACTTTTGTTAGGAAACAAACGCGCAAAAACAAGTATCTAAACGTGTTTTTGTTTACATAAACAGGTTCAAGATGTCCTTGGCCAAGTTTTAGACAATTTTGTTTTTTTAGTTATTTTTTGTTTTAACGTAATCAGTTGATTTGCCAACTTATATGTTTGGTTCTCGGTCGAAAATCTACGCGGATGTACTTTAGGGACATTGCTCTAAATAGATTGCTTAAATTTTTTCTCAGATAAATGTAAATAATATATACCTACGTTACTAGCCGCACGTTAACATTATATTATTTATTGTCATTATTATTAGGGAGTCCAACGCTCATATAAATATTAGCCTATCCTTAAGTACATGGATTTTCTACATGAATACCAAGTTTCAAGTCAATCGTATGCATAATTCAGTAGTTATAACGGAACCATCCGTAAAAACAACTGTAGATTTATATCATCACTACACAGTATAAAACAAAGTCGCTTTCTTTGTCCCTATAGATATCCCTATGTATGCTTAAATCTTTAAAACTACGCAACGGACTTTGATGCGGCTATTTTAATAGGTAGAGTGATTGAAGAGGAAGGTTTATATGTATAATAACATCCATTAAATAGTGGAGAAATTAATAATAAATTACAGTTTCCGAAGCGAAGCGAGGGCGGGTCGCTAGTAATAGTATAGATGAGAGAACATCAGAACACCCAAATTAGGCAGANTGTATGCTTAAATCTTTAAAACTACGCAACGGACTTTGATGCGGCTATTTTAATAGGTAGAGTGATTGAAGAGGAAGGTTTATATGTATAATAACATCCATTAAATAGTGGAGAAATTAATAATAAATTACAGTTTCCGAAGCGAAGCGAGGGCGGGTCGCTAGTAATAGTATAGATGAGAGAACATCAGAACACCCAAATTAGGCAGACAAAATGTGCTTAATAAATATATTATCTACTGCTGTCGACCACCTTCGAACTATAACCTCTACTCCGACAAGGCGTTCGAGCTATTTGCATGCATAATTAAAGTTTGCGATGTAGGCCGCGTTAACCGGAAAAAAATCTCCTCTTCTACTCATTTTTTCTTTTAATTTCTCTACATTAGTCCAAAATATTTTCGGGATGTATGTATACATAAAGATTTTGGTAGATTAACGTCAATTAAAGTTCGAAAAGCCTTACATCGAAACCACATACAGTCGCCTCAATTTCATGCTTTTGAAGTAGGTGCTGATATTTCCCTACCTATTCGCTGGTAGCCTAAGGGGCTATTCCAGCTAAGCCCGGATGGATAGGCCAGCTCACGGGCTCAACCTGAGAGAATTTGCTAACATTAGCCCTAGCAAGAGCAGTGCTTCGCTGAATCTAGCACCGGATCGGAAACGCGACCCACTGAGAAGATCAGGCGAGAATCTCAGTGGGCTACTTATGCCATTACTATACCACCACCAGAGATCTATACCGATTTTCTTAATGAATGTACTTGAACGAATTCTACATTGAATTAAAAATATTGTGTAGTAAAAATGAAACGTACAAAATTAATAGGGTTATTATTAATAGCGGTACGGCGGATGCATTGTGGGCTTGCACGGATAGGTACCACCATCCTGCCTATTTATGCCACTAAGCATTCAGCTAAGGATTGACCGGTGCCACATTAATTTCATAATACAAATTATAAATCATGCTCATGTCTCAAGTAAGCCGCCATTCCTATTGTGATTTTTATGGTCTATATTAATAGTTTAATACCAGATCGGCTGCGAGTGTGTCTACCTTCTAGATTCTAGAGCGTTTAAAATAGTTAACGTATAAGATTAAAACCTTTTGAATTATGTGAAATGATTCTGCACTGGCAATCTTATCACTAGTGCACAGCGAAACCTTGTAAATGTTAACCTCCTTTGGGTTTATTGAATGCAAGCACCTCACTAGTCTTATTTACACAATATATCGTACGTACTAAATAATAGTTAAGGCAAAACCCACCCAGTGCTCTTGGCGTAAAGTCGTGTTTGTGTGACCCATATAACACGTTTGGCCACTAGGAAATTGTCAATATTACTCGAATCGAACTCATATTTATAACGTGCACAGTAGAGATATAATGGAATAGTATAGAAATATACAGGACTGAAGATTGGTTTAAACTACAGCTTGCAGGAGACTAGGAGATTGATGCTAAGCATCACTGTCAATCTGTTTGTTTGTCCGGACTAATATTCCGTTTTGTCGTTCTCGTCTCTATTCTCTGCGAGAACGTACGCTATTTGTACCACAGAAATTTTAATATCAAGCAAAGTATGAGCTGCTCCGTCCGATTGTTTAAATGTTTATTTATTGGGAAAAATAGGACAAATGACAAATTTAATGCCATAAGGCATATTGAGCAGTTGACCATGTATCGTGACCTATTACGTTAAGCCATGCAGTTAAGAGCCTAAAAGCTTAACATTTTGCTGATGTATAAAAGCGACGGTCAAAAATCATCATCAAGTGGGCAGTATGCCCGTCTACATACATATAAGAGCAATTAAAAAAAAAACTAGGTCATTAAGGAGGAAACGAGGGGAAACGTAAACCACGTATCATCTAGATTAATTCCGTCGTTTTCACGAAGCCTAATGATACGACGGTACATTGTACGAGGCGCGTTGAGCCAAGGATACAAGATGCAGCCAACCGTGAATACCGACAGTGAGGAGTTATATAAAGTGTCGATTTTGTATGTAATAGAACGAATGACCTATTAGGTGCCACTATTAGACAGTGAAGGCCACGACTGACGGGGGGGAGGCGAGGCACGCTCACAGCACTCTAGCGCGCCGCTGACAGAAGTTCTACGAAACTGCAAACCATAGAACGAGAAGTAGAAAAAGACAAACGGTTGGCAGTGTATCGCGCTTCCAAGCGAGCTGGTTGACCAGCTGCGTCTTGATCTCGCTGCCGTACTGTGATGGCTTACGTAGAGTCGTCGACTATGACAACTTCGTCGGCCGCGTGTCCATGGGAAGACCTATCTTTGGTTGTAGTGCTTACCACGGTAATCTCTCTACTACGATCGGTTGTCGGGCAAGAGCGCATTGGGGTCGCTTATTGAGTCTAATGATGGTAGAGTCCCTCATACCCCGCGCGCCCTTTAGGCCCTAAAATTCCGTAGAAGGTACGGCCCCCGGTCCGAAAAAAAAAGTAAAGGGTGCCACTATCAGCAATTAGTTGTCTGTGGCCGGCGTGTGGTCATAACTATTCGTACGTCATAGCCATTTTAGAGGTTATTAGCAGTGTGCGAAATTGCGAAGAGAAGTACAGACGAGTGCGTATCACTACGCGAGGACTCTGTTTTTTTTTTTTTATTGCTTAGATGTGTGGACGAGGTCACAGCCCACCTGGTGTTAAGTGATTACTGGAGCCCATAGACATCTACAACGTAAATGCGCCACACACCTTGAGATATAAGTTCTAAGATCTCAGTATATGTAGTTACAACGGCTGCCTCACCCTTCAAACCGAAACGCATTACTGCTTCACGGCAGAAATAGGCAGGGTGATGGTACCTACCCGCGCGGACTCACAAGAGGTCCTACCACCAGTAAAAAAGTGTGCGTATCGCTACGCGGGGGCTCTGTTTAAGGCTTTTTAGCCGTGCTTCCATAACACAGATGAAATGGTAGATCGGTGCCATCGATTGCGAAACATTTCTTTATTATCTTCATGACTCTATGTATTCAACAACATTCGCACCTCACAGACAGATAAATCAACATTGAAATATAACAGATGGCGATAAATCATAATTCCATAAACAATTCAAGACGTTTTCACAAAGAAAATGTTGATCATATATAAATTTCTATGATAAACTGCGTCATTCAGATTCTAAAAGATCGTAAAAAATACAAAATGTAATAAATAATATTATACATTATATTTTAAATGCGTTCGTTTGAGAATTAACCTCTGCAGAGAATCGTCACGTTACTTATGTCAAGCAACAAAGTTGAGAAATGATCGACTAGCAAAAGGACTGACTTATTTAGAAATGTAAATGTAATATAAATAGTTAAAATAATACAATATACGTAAGCAATACAGATAGGATTAAAAGAGAGGATATAGTTTGAAAATAAGATGATTCTGTAGCTGTGGACAAATGAAACACGAGGGAAGTGGCTACGGTAAACATGGAAAGTCTCAATTGCATTAAACTGTTTCATGGGGAGTGCACTGAGGAATTATTTGAGATGACACCATCATCTCGTTTTAACCATCTCACCGCCAGCCACCGGAGTAGAGTTCATCCATACTACCTGGAGCCACTGCGGTCATCCACAGTGCGTTTCCAGGTGTCTTTTTTACCACTTACCATCCGGCTATGGAATGAGCTCCCCTCCACGGTGTTTCTCAAGCGCTATGACATGTCCTTCTTCAAACGAGGCTTGTGGAGAGTATTAAACGGTAGGCAGCGCCTTGGCTCTGCCCCTGGCATTGCTGACGTCCATGAGCGACGGTAACCGATTACCATCAGGTGAGCCGTATGCTCGTCTGCCTGCTCGGGCAAAAAAACTTACCAAAATAATTATTTGTCTTAAGGTAAAAAGGGTGGGGGTGGGCGGTCGTCTCGTCCCATTCTTCAAATGTGTCTGCGTGTATTTCCTGGCCATGGGCGCGGGTGGGAGCGATCCATCCTTGATCGGCGTGGCAACAAAATGCGCTCCGATACTTTGCCTGCTACTCGTCGTGGTTCTACACCATGGATCCTTGCCTTATGAGAAGTAAGATTTATTTGTTCTTGTTTAATTAACTTGAATGGACAGACCGATTATAGGCCAAACGAGATTTAACCGATTTAAGGAGATTCCTAAGCCTATAATTTATTTCATTAGACACTAGCTTTTGCCCGCGACTTCGTCCGCGTGGAATAGTTCACAAATAATGCTTTATTTTAGAACAAATTTGGTTAGCATAAAAACATTATAGTGAGCCAACCTTAACATATAGACATATGCGGTCGGGGACTTTTTTTTAGATCTTTTAAAGGGGAACAATTCTGTCATACATTATTTTAGCGAAACTTAACCATTTCTGCAGCGCACGCAGCGGAAGCTCTCAAAAGGTAAAAATATCCCCGATTTTAAAACATTCGTTATTGATGCTCCGCTTGTATTGGTCTTAGCATGATTATATAGCCTATACCCTTCCTCGATAAATGGGCTATATAACGCTGAAAGAATTTTTCAAGTCGGACCAGTAGTCCCTGAGATTGGCGCGTTCAAACAAACAAACTCTTCAGCTTTATAATCTTAGAATAGATTAGTATAGATAAGGAACCTAGCATTGTAATTTCCAACGCTAGTGAAGATCTCACGGTGGGTTACATGTCCTCCAAGACAGAGATTAAGGAATACAAAAGTCAACCAGTGCAAAGCATATTATCTGTTAGGTCACATACACACTTTGATAACATAAACAATAAATCTCAACGCGTAACATTATTATCTGAAGCGACTGAATGTCAATTGTATTCGATAACAAAATTTATTATTAATTCNATTTCCAACGCTAGTGAAGATCTCACGGTGGGTTACATGTCCTCCAAGACAGAGATTAAGGAATACAAAAGTCAACCAGTGCAAAGCATATTATCTGTTAGGTCACATACACACTTTGATAACATAAACAATAAATCTCAACGCGTAACATTATTATCTGAAGCGACTGAATGTCAATTGTATTCGATAACAAAATTTATTATTAATTCTTAAGTTATTTTTAAAGGAAACTAACAACAATTGCCCAATTAAATAGTTTTACAAACCGGAGTTACATTAACAAATTGCATTGTATACGTAAATACGAATAAGTCCTAATTATCAAACTTGATAAGAACGATCATCACAATGACATTTGAATGCCATCGCCGGCCAAGTTCAATAACCGACTTATTTATTGTGACAGTCACTCCGTTTGCTTTTAAAATTAAACTCGCTTCAACGACCTTGTTATTGGTCTGTAGAAAAAGTCGTAAACTGCTGAAAATACTAAAGTCCACAAGTACAATCATAAGGTTGCCAAGGTTTTAGAACGACCCGATAAATTGATAAGACCAGATTGCTTATGTTCAATTTTTATAGCACAATAGCTTCCCACCCTTCAAATCGATGTGTACTGCTTCTCGGCAGTAATAGGCAGGACTGTAGTACCTAACGGTCCGAGCTCACAAGACTCCCTACCACCAGAAATTGCGCAACTTTATAGACTAATTAACGTTTTATTTTATATCCCAAAACTTAAGTTTACTGAATAGAAAATGTAAATAATGAATTGCACAATAAATGCACAACAATAGTACAAAGAACGAAATTGGTGGTAGGTGGTGTAAAGTGAACCGGAATGGGGAATTTCCACCACCGTGCCTATTTTTGTTGTGAAGCATACGTGTTCTAGGTTTGTTTGGGTGGGCACAACCGTTTTACAATACCTTTTGATCCTCCCCCTCCTGTCTCAAAGCGAGTGGCGGTATACATATAAGTAATAAAAAAAAATCACGTTATAATGACCACGAGCTCCATAGTAGATTCTCAGTTCATATGCTCCGAGGTCCTGAAACTGCGATACTATAAGACATTTTTTTTGTATAGAAACTATCGACATCTTGTAGCGGATGCCCCTAAACTTATATGATGTTAAAGTTAACGCATTTAATTATTGTTTAACTAAACACAGAAAATAAAAAAATAAAAAATCATACTAGTCTTTGTTGTAGAAAATTTACAAATCCTTCATTAAAAATAAAATATAGGATAGGTAATATGTTACTGCTATCTACAGGAGCATTAAGTAACTAATCGAAGCGAAGCCATCTAGTGGCCGACGCCCGTAAACATTTTTGTTGAGTGCTTGAGTTGCTTATCTCTAACTAGTTTATGTGTATTATCTATGATATGCTCAATTAGAGTATGTTTATGATTGACTGGCGCAGAAACAGTAGTTAAACGTCTACGTTCACAGAGGTTGGTACGCGCGACGGATCGCGGCCGGTCTGGCTCTATCAGCCCTGGGTGATGCCTTCCTCGTCTGGCCGCAGCACTTCATCGCGGGCATGGCGGCCTTTGCGGCTGCCCACATATCCTACATATCAGCTTTCCGGTTCACGCCGCTCGCGAAGCCATTAGCTCCTATCGTCTACTCGGGTTGCGGGTACTACATGACCTTGATAACTCCGCCTGATGGATTGAAGGTGTTGGTACCGGTGTACGGAATTTTATTGAGTACAATGGCATGGAGGGGCCTGGCCAGGGGTCGGGCGGCGGCTGTCGGTGCTGTACTGTTCCTAATATCTGATGCTATACTGGGGTACAGCCTATTTGGAGGACCGGTTCCTTACAAACAAGTAAGATTTATCATTGTTCTTTATAGTAGTATCATAGTATTTTTTTATTTATTGCTTAGATGGGTGGACGAGTTCACAGCCCACCTGGTGTTAAGTGGTTACTGGAGCCCATAGACATCTACAAAGTAAATGCGCCACCCACCCTGAGATAATAAGTTCTAAGGTCTCAGTATAGTTACAACGGCTGCCCCACCCTTCAAATCGAAACGCATTACTCTTTCACGGCTAAAATAGGCAGGGTGGTGGTACCTACCCGCGCGGACTCACAAGAGGTCCTACCACCTAAATAAATAAATAAAATATATTAATTACCCAAGCCACACTAGTAAGCGCGTTGAAAATTGAATAGGTACAAATGAGTCGACTATTATCAAAGCCGGCAATGTGACTTTTGGACAATTATTGGTAAATCAGAAAAACGAATTATTGACTTTGTATTCCATTGGCAGTCACAAAACTCTTCTGAACGACATCTTAGATAAATAACAGGTTAACTATTAACCTTTATTTAATGCAGGTTTTGAACCGTATTCTTTGAAGGAGACGATTATATTNACATTTAAATTTAGCCTATTTTTTCGCTGTTTGTAAAGTGACTGTAACATGTCGTAGTGTGTTATAAGAGATTGCTGTACATGCCTGTAACTGCCTTACATACCAGTACTTAATTTTATACATGTTAATTTTAAGCTTGAATGTTTTGTGTGGATGGGTGGACGAGCTCACAGCCCACCTGGTGTTAAGTGGTTACTGGAGCCCATGGACATCTACAACGTAAATGCGCCACCCACCTTGAGATATAAGTTCTAAGATCTCAGTATAGTTACAAGGACTGCCTCAGCCTTCAAACCGAAACGCATTACTCTTCCACGGCTAAAATAGGCAGGGTGGTGGTACCTACCCGCGCGGACTCACAAGAGGTCCTACCACCTAAATAAATTAATAAAATATATTAATTACCCAAGCCCCACTAGTAAGCGCGCGTTCAAAATGGAATGGGTACAAATATAATAGGTTCATTGAAAGTGCCGAGGCCGGTTCCCCCTAACACCGCTGCGCTAAGTACTGTTAAAACAAGTTTTCTGATTGGCAAGTCGGAACGACCGTTGTTTCTTACTCACAATTCGTAGTTTAAAATGTATTTTTATATATAAAGAAAAACCTTTTTTATGTAATCTATACTAATATATAAATCTACAGTGGTTTTTACGGATGTTCCGTTATAACTACTGAACCATGTATCCGATTGACTTGAAACTTGGTATCCATGTAGAAACTACATGTACTTAAAATGGATAGGCTAATATTTATATGAGTATTGGATTTCCTAATAATATTGACAATAAATAATATAATGTTAATTTTAAATGCCCAGCGAAGCGAGCGAGTACGGCTAGTTTTTTTATAAAACCTTTTTAGTTTTTTTTTCAAGGATTTTTCATATACTTAGTCTGGCCATAAATACTGTTACAATAAAAAATAAAAAAAATCTATTGCAAATAACATTTATTACTTTTACAGTGTATTAGTTTAATACATAAATATAAAACAATTTAAAGTATAAAAAGCTTATTCGAAGTGGTCTCCATTGGCTGCAATACAGTCCTTTAAACGTTGAGGCCGTTATCAATAGAAGCACGCACTCTTTCCATGGAAAATTTTTCACTGCCAATCGTACGGATTGTTTTAGGGACTCCAAATTATCATGGCGTTTAGAGCAAGCCGTACTCTCTAAAACTGACCATAAATAATAATCCAGCGGATTAAGATCAGAACTAGACGACGGCCAGTCTTCAGCTCTGATGAAGTCCGTAACGTTCGTTTCCAACCAAGACTGCGTAGACCGAGCTTTATGACCTGGCGCCGAGTCTTGCTGGAAGGACCATTCTTGATTATTGAACATGGTGTTGTTAAGGGCCTTCACTGCCTTCTCAACAATGGTATCTTGATACACTTGTGCCGATGTTTTGATACCTTTTTCACAAAAGTATGGCTCAGTCACTCCTTCGTAGCTAATACCCCACCAAACCATCACTGAAGTCGGATAGTGCCCACGTTGCACTCTGTCGACTAATTGGGAAGCTTCCTTAGAGCTTTGAGCATAAATACGGTAATTTTGTTTGATAAAATGTTGCTCAATTGTAAAAAAAATCTCATCCGTAAATAAAAAAAAATCTATGACCTCCCTTTGCGTACCGCTTTAGTAGTTGTTTCGATTTTACCACCCTATTCTCTTTTAAATTATCAGTTAAGAAATGACCAGTACGTCTCTTATAGGCTACAAGTCCTAAGTCATATTTTAAAATACGCGACATGGTTCTAGGTGCTATCTTCATCTCCCGAGATAAAATCTTTTGCTTTCGGACAAGATTTCTTCGAATTCTTTCCCTTACTGCTTTGACCACCTTTTTCGTACACTGCCTGGACGCCCAGATCTTTTTCTGTCACAAACAGAGGAGGTTTCATTGCACCTATTAATAGCCCGGTACACAAATATTTTACTAATACCAAGCGTATGGAGAGTTTTAAGAATTTCATTTGGCTCCATACCTACATTGTGTAATGCAATCACAGCGATTCGGTTCTCTTTATCACCCCACTCCATTTTAATATCGCAAAATATTGTACAATGTATTGGCACCAAAATGAGAAAACTCAATGAACAATCATATAAAAATGACAGATTCCAAATTCAAATGTAATATTTTGTTTAATTTTAATTGTTACAGTATTTATGGCCAGACTAAGTATAGATTGACTGAACTCACTCTCATTGAGAAAAAAGACAAGTTTAGTTTTATTTAATTCAAGAATAAAATAATTTGTGGAAAATAAAGGCTTTAAATGTTCTTTTCTTAATATTGTACAAAAACGCAATTAAGTCTTTTATTATTGTTGAATCACTTTTAGAATATTCCATATCATTATATATACTATTTCGTTAAGATAGCGAAATAAATGACCATGACATTAGTCTTCGGTTGAATTCAAACTTTGCGCTCTGTATTTAAATGAGCAGTTTTGGCCGAGCCGAGCATCATTAAAATTTAAAAATTCTCATTCGAAGGCTTTTCACATGATGAAGGTGAACATCTTTATATATATACTAGCTGTACCCGTCCGCTTCGCAGGACATTTAAAATTCAACATTATTATTTCTCACCCCAACAAAGTTTTTCATTATTAACGCCCCCGCAACTTGTGTAGGGAGCCCAACACTCATATAAATATTAGCCTATCCATTAAGTACATGTATTTTCTACATGGATACCAAGTTTCAAGTCAATCGGATGCATTGTTCAGGAACATCCGTAAAAACCACTGTAGATTTATATATTAGTATAGATTTCTTATGTGCGTGTGTTTGTCACTGAACTCCTAAACGGTTGGACCGATTTGAATGATTTTTTTTTATACGTTTGGATGGCACCCTGGATCCTTTAGATTCACAAATCAGCCCGTCAGAGGGAGCTGCAGTCGATGTTTCCTAGAAATAATTTATATGGCAAATCAACGTTTGCCGGGTCAGCTAGTTTTAGAATAAATTCAAACTTATTGTCGGTTCCTATCATTTTGTTATTAAATAATTAACATTATAGTTTAGCCACAGATGTTTGGCGGTCAAATAATGTTAGACGCTCATCAGAAAATAGACGAAGTACATAGTTTTAGAGATAGTACCGTCACATTGGACATAATGAAATTGTATCTCCTGAATCTGATAGACATATTATGATGTATTGTTAGTTAAATATTTACATGGCTTTGGTCTTCAAGGTACTGGTGATGTCGACGTACTACCTGGGACAGCTTGGGATAGCACTGAGCGCACTGGATGCGCGGACCACGACGGATCAAACAAGTTAATTTTTTTCGAAAACTGCTCTTCTGTAGATTATGAGGAATGGTTTATTGACTAGTTAAGACCCCAAGTGAGAAAGAACGCGCCAAGTATCAAGATTATTAAATCGGACTGTCTTCCTTCAGAACGAGTGCGAGGATGAGTTATATCTGAAGTTCAATTAATAATTGGAAATGTTTTAATACGCTTTTATTAGCTTCAGACGTATATGTGTTAGTATGTAACGGAATCTTTGAACATGATTTTGATCCCTTTCAAAACGTTGGATTAACTCGAAATTTGCTATACTTATTAAGGACCGGTGATAATTCAATATTTTTAAAAAATATTGAAAAATAAATAAATTGAAATTCAACTAAAAAAATGAAAAATAAATAATTTTTTACAATAAAATCATTTTTTCTTACACTATTTTTAATTCAAATTTATTTTCTATTTTTAGTTGAATTTTCTATAAAAGCGTATTTTGTTAGTTTTTTTTAACTATTATTGAAATTATTAATCTGTATATTTGCATTACTGGTTCATAGTGATTTAGACCGTATTGCGTGCCGGCAGTGTCAATTCAAGAATACATATTTCTTTACCACTCCTTGTTAGTAGACGAGTTCTTCTGTTCTATTATAAATAATTTATCCCAATAAGTGAGAAGCTATTGGATGCGTCCTAATATTCCGCTTAAAGGCTTCAACAATTCGGTACGCTTAGCCGAATTTATTCCTGTCTTATTTTCATAGGTTGATTTTGTGTGACATTAAAAATCAAGTTACAGCAATTTTCGCCATCAATACGTTCAAAGTGTGTCCTTCATTGGGCGATCTGTCAACATTACGATTGTGAATGATCTGTAGTTTTCACGTTACTCTACTTTCTACTACTTTCACGTTAAAATTACAAAAAATAGTAATTTTTTGTTATATTTTTCTCAAAAATTAATCGGAATCCACGATACTACGCAATCTTGATAAGTTCCATGTGTTTCATATATGGTAGTGATGTCAAAGGTGTTATTTCAAAACATCGATCTATTACCATCACCATCACCACCATCGCGGTAATAGATCGATGTTTCAAAATTAATTTTAAATATATTTAATGTAACTCTATATCGAGGAGTAAAAGGTTATTGGTTTAAGCGACATTTATCTGTGTAATTAAAGGTCCGTTTCATTTGGTATTAGCATCAACAACTTTAAACTTTTAAATGAACTTCAACTATATGTTTACCCCATTTAAATAGCTGAAGCAGTTTTTTTGTTACGATATTTTTTTCAAATTTAAACATTAAACCTTACATAACCTTTTGGCCCTCGATTTTCTATCTGAAGACGATAGTTATTGTTCGAACTACCATGAATGAAACTATAGGCGTGAGGCGCGCCCAACTCACTCCTTCATAATATGGAGGATGTAATTCCATTAAGAAAAAAAAACACAAAAAATAACTTAAAATTCTGTGTTAGTCAAAAAAAAACATAATATTTAAAACTTATTATTTAAATAGTACATTATAATGAACTTTGTAAATTGCAAATATTTATAATGAAAAATGCATATTTAAATATTCGAAATAACATATCAAGTAACATAAGGTAGGTACGCGGACCTGAACTTTGAGTAATTTCTATGTCGGATTATTGCGAGAATCTCAGATTATTCCTAAAAACTTCATTTCGGTGTGTCCATCAGGTGCAATAGATTTATTGTCGAAAAGATCGGTGTAGCTGATTATCGACTTAATTAAAAAAAATCAAACTCTGATTTTTTTTCATACCTATGCTGATGGCTTTGAGAGGCTATTTCAGCTTTTCCGTGTAGGTGAGCTCACAGGGCTCAAACCGGAGTGTTGCTAACACTGGCCCTAGCAAGAGCAGTGCTTCGCAGAATCTACCACCGGATCGGAAACGCGACGTGAGAAGATCCGGCGAGAAACTTAGTGGGCAGTGTCTATGGGCTAATTCACTCGTCGAGCCCTGACCGGTACTTGTGGTACCTAAAAGCACCGTTAATGAATCGGGAGGATCCGTAATGACGTGTAAATCTGCTTATTTGCACTCAAAGTACTGCAAAAGATCAGCGCGCAGTGTAATGAAACGCCCTGCCTTCGGTGTGCATTGCGGCTTCTGCAGTACATAAAATAACTAAAACAACATTATGTAATAAAAATGAATCTTATTGCATATGAATATTAACTACCTTCGACTTAGGTATATTAGTGTAATGCAGCCTTTCCCAAAGTGGGCGATAACGCCCCCGCCTCCAGCCCGTGCCACTCCGTCGCCGCGTCCGGTGGCACAAAATAAAGCCCAGACCCCTCCCCCGGTAATCCTTCAAGAGAAGGCAGCTTGGGAACGAGTTTCCCTGGCCCTTAAGGCCAAAAATATCAATTTTACGAATGCCCGTAACCTCGCGAACGGCATTCAAATTAAGGTTCGAACATCCGACGACCATAGGGNAAATAAAAATGAATCTTATTGCATATGAATATTAACTACCTTTGACTTACATTAGTGTAATGCAGCCTTTCCCAAAGTGGGCGATAACGCCCCTTGTGGGGGCTGCAGGCCTAATGGGGGGCGGTAATAAACCCAGAAAAAAATGGGGGCGTTGTGTAGAGGCTTGGGAGGCGATTTGTAATTTCATCTAGGACACTTAGACACCGAATGAGCTCTCGCTATAGTGGTTTATAAGTAGGTGAAGAAATGGAGGCACTAAAAAATAATTTATTCTCAAAGTGGGCAGTAGACAAAATAAGTTTGGAAACCACTGGTGTAATGTATCGACGCTTCCACTACGAGAGCTATCCTTTCACATCTAGTTCACACCTATATTCAGATTTAGGAAAGTTATTAATATAGTGCAATTGAACTATAGACCTTATGGCCTAAAGTGAAAGACGGTATTTACTTTGAGGAACCAAAAGAGGAAGGCATACATACAAAAATAATTGTTTAAATCATTAAAAGATAATTTTTATTAGAATGCGTAATGAACTTTATTTTTAAGATAGTATTTACTTAAGTAGATATTTAGGTGTAGACGTATTTTAATCATAAATACTTCCTTTATTTTAATAAAGTTCTTTTATTATTGACATTGTGTCTTAGATTAGTATTGTAGAGGGTTTTTTGTAAATTGTATTTACTCACCGTGTCGATAAAGGTGTGTGCACAAAACGTTCCAATATCACTGAATAGAACAGTCTGTGATATGTTGGTCGATGATATTGTGAACAAAAAAATATTACTAAATTGTGTGTGAAAATAAAAAACTAATTATGTGGTGTCGTGGGACACCAGGTAGGAACCAAGTTCCTTCGGCTAATGTAGAATCGACACAATTTGCAAAAAAAAAATCGTGCTCAATTTTATGTTGGTTTTCTTGATTTTTCTCTTAAATTTTGCTGATTAGTTTTTATTTAAGTACATGAAAGTATTTAGGAAATTCAGTATTTTAGGAAATAATAAATTACGTAAAATAAAAATAAAATCGTAATTCAAATTATCAATTAAAATAACAAAATATGTCTCTTTATTTTTGTTTGACAACATAAAATTACATAGAAATAGAAATAATTACAAAAAAGAGAAAGAAGGGATGAGAGAACGAAAAGAAAGAGGGAGAAAGAGAAAGGTATTATACACTACTCGCTTGTGTATACGACTGTCGCGCCTGCGCACGTCTCATTTACCGGTTTTATTCCACGCACTTTTTTCCACGGATTTTTTCTTACGGTTTTACTATCACAATATTTTTTTCAGTTCGGTCGCGCAGCAAAACCCCTATCCCCTCCAAGCCTGCCGTAAGGAACTTCGTTCCAAAATAAGTCCTTAATTACAAATATTTTCGATGTGTGAAAATAATAGATCTGTTTTTAAATTAGGTACTTATAAGTGTGCCAAAATGATTGGTGTCTCATTTTGAAATTTTCAATTCGTTTACTGTTATTTTAATTTAAGCGCTACGATATTTTTTTTACCTAAAATAATATAAGTAATATAAGTCTGTTTTTTTTGTATCATGGCCGAGGGAAAACATTCACGATAAAGTAAACAAAAAATATCGGTGACGATTATAATGATCAAATATTGACATATTTCGTTACATAAACATGTAATTGGACAAACTCATTTGATGTATTGTCGTGACTTGACTTATAGATCACACGACACTTTCGCATGTTCTCAATTTACGAATTTCAGAGTTTGTTTTAGATATTTAATGACTATCTCATCGTAAAAAGTTCTGGTCACATTATTAACATCATCTTACTTTATTTTCGGGAATTAAAATCGACTGGTGCATATTATGTATAATAAGTGATTCCATACATCAACATACGTTATTATATATTGTATTAATAAGTTACAAATTATAATGAATTGTAAGTTTAATAATTTTATTATAATTTTTACGTATTTATCAACGTTCCGACCAATGTCCCTTTTGAATTGTGAAAAACTAAAATTAAGGCACGTAAATTAATCAAAATTTAAGAGGTACTTATACCTCCGAATCTCTTACTAATACGTATGTATATATTCTTGATATTCTTAACTAAATTGGTGGTTAAACCTTAAATTAATTCAGTTAATATTTTCAAAACTGACATTGAGGTTTTTATGTCCAAATCTATATACATGGGAAGCGAGTCATAAGCTTCGAGCATCAATTCACTTTTCATCTTCAACCTGCACCATGATTATAGTTGATGTTTTCCACTAGAAGCATCCCTCTTGTCTCGTAACGTAAATTTTACTGGTGGTAGGACCTTTTGTGAGTCCGCGTGGGTAGGTACCACCACCCCGCCTATTTCTGCCGTGAAGCAGTAATGCGTTTCGGTCTGAAGGGTGGGGCAGCCGTTGTAACGTGTGGCGCATTTACGTCGTATGGGCTCCAGTAACCACTTAGCACCAGGTGGGCTATAAGCTCGTCGACCCACCTAAGCAATAAAAAAAAGACATTGAAACCCCTGGTTAAGTGTTTTGAACAAATAACGTAATGACGTGGTCATCTCCAAACTAGCATGAAAAGAGCTACTTACGATGACAACGACAATTAATTTCTACTATTTTCCAATAGTTTTCAAACACGTATCGTTTGCCTTTGTAACGAATCAACTCAATTGATTCCCATCAGTCGTTTAATTGACTGAATCTCTCTCATCGGGTCGAATGACTTCAATGAATAAAATGAAGCGTTTAGCTCTCCCTCTCTCTGGAACTAGCAGTATTTTGTAATATTACAATGTGCATTGTAAATATTTTCGGACAGGA